GCCGGTGCAGTGACATGTTATTGGCTGTGTCCTGTGGACACAGCCGGTGACAGATCATGCTGCTGCACTGCCCTGCGGCCACGTGAGTGGCTTGTTTTGACAGGACGTCATATGACGCCCAGTCACAAGGGCAAGTGTCCCGCCTGGCCATCAATCTGCTATAGGCCGGGCGGGAAGGTGTTAAACATGTTCAGTAAAAAAATTTAAAAAATTTAATTTCATCATAAATTTAGGCCAAAATGTGTTGTGCTGTGTGCTGTTTTACTGTGGGCTGTGTTAGTGCTTTCCACGGTAAGCATACTGCTTTGCATGGCTCTGCAGAGCCATGCAAAGCAGTGTGCAGAGCCTTGCAAAGCAGTGTGCAGGAGCTGACAGGGGAGAGAATTGTATTGTTTACATACAGTTCTCTCCCACCGCCGGGTGCCGGCGAGTAATCACTGGTCTGGACCCAGTGATTGACAGCCGAGGCCATGAAATGCAAAATCATGTATGTATACGTGATTTTGCAAACCTCTGCTGCCCTGTAGTAGTATATCTGCTATAGGGTGGCGGAAAAGTGGTTCCAATACAAATGCTTCATATTCCAATACTGTAACCTCTGCTAGGGACAAGCTTACACAGTTGAGATACTTACACAGAATGTAATATACACCTAAGCGTTTATTTCTTGTGTGCGAACGCGCTACCCCCACATGCCATAAATGTGAGTCAGAACAAGCGGACTTTATGCCTATGGTTTGGTCGTGCGTTAAGGTCAGACCGTTTTGATCTGAGATTACTGCATTTATTCCAGTTCATTTTGGTCTCCCCAATGTCTGTAGTGTCTTCTCAGGGTAGTTGATGATATTGAACTGCCTGCTAAACCTAAAAGATTCTTACGAATATCGCTCTATTACACTAGGAAGACCATTGCATTATACTGGACACGTTCTGACCCCATGCATATTGGATTGTGGAAACGTTCAATCAGAACCTCCAAGTTTATAAGCTAACTTATGAGGCAAGCGGGTGTCCAGGGAAGTTTACAAGACTCTGGGGACCCTGGCTGGACACCAGTGACACTTCTACATTTGGGCCCTGACCCCATACCTTAATTACCCTCTGTTTTAAGTCAAACCCTCCCGCTGTTCTTGCTACTACTCCTGTTTGGGCTGGAAGTCAGAGTGTTATTATGATTTTTGGGACAACTACTAACACTGTGCCCTTCTTCTTTTCCTTTCCCAACTTTGTATGGTGCTGGGCACCTGGGTGGAACCTCTCAGTCTAATAACATACATGTGTGCAGTATTCTTTTGTCTGATTGCTTACTCTGACTTTTTTTTTTGTTACTTATTTTTTTTTCTTGTTTTCTTCTTGTTTGATTTTTTTCAGATTTTTTTTCTTGTTTTCTACTTGTTTGATTTTTCTGATTGCTCTTATACATGGATGTACACATTTGTTGCTGTGTTATGTGTTGAATTGATAGGCTTTGATACTCCAGAGCTGTGACAATTCCCTTTGTATACACTATTTGCTGCAGAGTATTTTGCCATTGTATTAGCTTGACAAAGTGTGATTTGTATGTGCAATTTTCTTTTCCACTAAACTAAGTTTAAAAAAAAAAAAAAACCTCTATACATACCATTTTTGTCTTCTACCTGGTCAAATTATGTCAAGGAGCGTCCTCGTTTTCCTCCTTAGTAATGAGCCTTCGTCCCAGGTCTAATGATGTGTGATCTCTGATCAGTCCTGTAGTACTGTGAACCCAGCCTGTGTGATGAAAAGAAATGGGCAGAATGATGTGAATGTCATTCTGCCCAAAGGGCAGCTCTGGACAGAGGAGAAAGCTGGGGACAGGCAAAGGGTAACCATAACTTTAATGGGGGGGGGGGATTTAAAAAAAAAAATAAACTGTAGGTGCATGTTAAGATTCTCAACTCCTTTATTAAATCAGCCTCCTTGTCTTTCTATTGTTACTACAACAGCTTCTCTACTTTCACACATTTTGTGTTTGTGCATTGTTTTTCTTCTCCAGTTGGTGGCAGCATTTCCAGTAAAAACACTGGAAAACTGGAAGTTACAAACTCAATGTTTTGTATGTAAATAATGAGTTTAAAAACTACATCTACAAATGGTTTCTGCAATAGCAGAGATGGCAACAATCCACTCTGCTTCAACAAGAGGAACCTGCTGAGCAGGTATACACTTTGACCACAGCCCGTGGACTGGCAGGGTCCTATACAGCAATAGGACTTGTGCCTGCTGTACCATGTACTTGTATGAAAAAAGTATCCTGTTAATTTTGTATTGCTTCCTATGTGCCAATTCCCTGGTGTTCCTGCCAGTCCCTCTGCTTTCCTATTAAAAACTGACTACACTAGGTATGAGAGCACAGCATGGTCAGTTCTCTAGCTGTGCTGGGAACTCAGCCTGCTCTCCTGCAATGATCAGACTTGTCCTGACATATCACCCCTGCACAGCCATTCACTGGGAAAATTCAGCGTGCTGTTTCTCCACCCTCACCTTTCTATGCAGCTGAGAACAGAGGGTATGTGGTCTTTTATAAAAAAAAAAAAGGGTATTTATAATTTTTGTTTATAAACTATGCCCACCAGAAGACGTCAGGCCCTCAGGACACTCTCATGAAGTCTGTTTCTGATTGGTCAGAGACATTCGCACCAGTGGTCTGCTACAGGTCATTTTGTAGAGCTCTGGCAGTGCTCATCCTGTTCCTCCTTGCACAAAGGAGCAGATATTGGTCCCGCTGATGGGTTAAGGACCTTCTATGGCCCTGTTCAGCTCTCGTAGAGTAACTGCTTGTCTCCTGGAATCTCCTCCATGCTCTTGAGACTGTGCTGGGAGACACAGCAAACCTTCTGGCAATGGCGCATATTGATGTGCCATTCTGGAGGAGTTAGACTGTCTGTGCAGCCTCTGTAAGGTCCAGGTATCGCCTCATGCTACCAGTAGTGACACTGACCCTAGCCAAATGCAAAACTAGTGAAAAACAGTCAGAAAGGATGAGTAGGGAAAAAAATGTCAGTGGCATCCACCTGTAAAACCATTCCAATTTTTGGGGGTCGTCTCATTGTTGTCTATCTAGTGCACCTGTTGTTAATTTCATTAACACCAAAGCAGCTGAAACTGATTAACAACCCCCTCTGCTACTTAACTGACCAGATCAATATCCCAGGAGTTTCATTGACTTGATGCTATACTCTGATTGAAAAGTGCTCCTTTAATTATTTTGAGCAGTGTACTTTAAGAATACAAACTAGAATACAGGTTTCTTTTTTTAAACCAGAGTGTCACTTTTTGTTCACATAACTATTGCTTATGATTTATAATCCTTTTTTATTATAATGTTAAATAGCTCCTTTTTCTGCTTTTCTGATCAGACACCTCTTAAAACTCGAAGTTATCGCTTGCCCTAAACGATTGTTATTTTAAAGGTGAAGTCCAGTGAAACAGATCCCCAGATGAAATGCATATTGGGGAGCTGTTTTACCTGCTAAAGGATTTGTATTTCTGTCCATTCTTTTCTAATATTTACAAATCTCTGGCAGACAGTAGAGCCAGGCTGGTTACCTTACTTTTCTGCATTCCAATTTTGGTAAAAATATGAACTACTGTATACCTAAACCTGTTTCCCACCCCCATTCTAAGCCTATTCTAGTTACCTTGTAAAGTAACGGTGTCCATACATACCTATTCTGAGGGTGCTCCGGTCCAGTCACATGATAAGTGGCCGACTTCAGTGAAGAGGACAGATCACAAACAACAGCTGCAGAGCCTGTGTATTGACCTCACCCATAGACTTACTATGGGGCATTTGTTGTTGGCTGTCTCTCTTCTACACTGAAGCCAGTGCTGGAGCCTGATCATGTGACCAGACCAGACCAGAGTGCCCTCAGAATAGGTAAGTATAGACATCTTTCCTTTACAGGGTAGTTAGAATAGGTTTAGTATGGGGGTGGGAGCAGGTTTAGGTACAATTACTATTTGACTGGAATGCTACTTTAAAATGAATGAAGCTTTAATAAAGCTAGGTCACCTCTCTGCTCCCAGCCTGTGAGTTGTACTCCACTATACAACTGAAGGCCGTCATGAGTAGGAATGAATGGGGCTATAATGGACAATAAAGCTGGCCGACACACATTTATGTACTTACAATATAAAAATGTTCTTCAAGTTATTCTAGGTATTTTTTATAGCACAATACATTTACACCTGTCCCTGTACATCAGAGCATATAATCTAAGGCAGCCATTCACAAACAGGGTTCCATGGAACCCAAGGGTTCCTCAAGAAGTTACTAGAGGTTCCTTGAGCTGTGACTGATTGACCTCTCATTTGTGGTGCCTACATAGTTCAGGGTCAACTCCACTTGGCAGAGCCTGCTGCATGAATCCGATGATCTTTTTAGCAGTCTGTGAGGGTTGCATTCTGACCACCACTGTAAGGAGGTCATTCTTTCCACTGGCCAATAATGCAAGGGGCATTTTTCTACTAACCTCCAATAAAGCAGGGGTTCCCTGAGAGCTGGAAAAAATGTCAAGTGTTCTTCAGTGACAAAAAGGTTGAGAAAGACTGATATAAGTTCTCTATCTTACAAACTAGGACTAATACACACAGGACCCATATAACCTATCAGCATGTGTTTGGAGTGTGGGAGGAAGCTGTACCTGGAGGCAACCCATGCAAGCACATGGAAAAAAATGCAAACTCAATGCAGATAGTGTCGTGTTCAGGATAGAAAAAACAATGACCCCAGTACTATGAGGCAAATATTATTGCAAACTCTATTGTTATGACATTATGTTAAATTCTTTTGATTCTTCTATACATGTGGTTTTGACATATGTAAGTAAAGTTGTGTTTTATAAGCAAATTGTGTTTGTTCATGTTTCCACCCTCTCCACTGATTAACAAAGCTGCTGTCCAAGGGTGGCTAAGTTGCTCTTCCATAGATGAAGTAGATTAGTGAATGTAACCACCAGGGGGGGGCGGACTGACAACTCATGGGGCCCCCGGGCAATAGGGGATCATGGGGCCCCTGTGTCCTTGCCCAAACTCAAAAAAACCTATGAAAAAGGTACCAGGGGCATCTCATGGGGCCGCCTACTGACCCCGGGCCCTCGGGCACTGCCCGAGTTTCCAAAAGGTCAGTCCACCCCTGGTAACCACCCATAGACAGGAGGCATGTTGTTGGCTGATCACAAGGTGAACCTCCAGGAATAAAAGCCTGAAAAAAGGGAAACTAATGCAGCCACCACATCCAATGATTGGTAAGCTACAGTATATTACATTTTTGTTTTAGGATTTAGTTATTATATGGTTTTGGTAAATCTAAAGGAAAATTGTACAAGAATTGTACAATAATGTATGACCGGCTTTACTGTCTCTGGCCCTACTCCTTTCATTCATAGATTTTCAGTTCTTTCAATCATTGAGACTCAGTGTCTTATGTTGGCGTTCTCAATGCTGAAGTCTTCTCCAAACTAACTTTCAGCCATCAAGGCATTTTGATGGGGCAGGGTTTCGTGATGTTTTCAGGAAGCTATGTACATCATCCTGCAGGAAATGGATGGTAATTGTAGTGCCCCTTTAAATTGGTGGTCAGAATAGCAGAAAAGTGACTCCTTAAATTGATGATCAGTGTAGTATTTTCTCATGTTTGTGGGTAGTGTGGTGCCTTCCTAAATTGGTTATTAGTGTAGTATTCCTTTACATCCATGGTCAGGAAGGGCTGCCTTGCACTGGTTGTCAGCTAAAAAGTATTCCCTTACATTTGTGGTCAGTGTATTGCCCTTACATTGGCAGTCAATTGTAAAGTCTCCCCTTACACTCCTAGGCAGTGAGAATTGCCCCTTTAAATTAAAAAAAATGCCATTTACATTCATGATCACTTGGAAGAATGTCCCTCACAATGGTGTTCAGTGGGAAGAATGCCCCCTTTCTAGCAGCTCATTGCTGTCAGAGGTTTTTTACCTGAAAGACTGGACACACACTCCTAGTCTTGCTCCACATTGGCTCTGAAATTATACTGACATCATTGGCCAAAAACTAGTTTGTTGGAATGGTAGCAAATGGTGGTACTTCTGGGGATCTCTCATGGAACCCTTGGGAGACTCTTGCCTAAACTCATAGCATTGTTTTATCTTAATTTATAAATAGAATTCCAAAGTGCATCAACTCATACATTTACAAAGCTTTGGGTAGATTTTAGGAAACTTGAGTCTGGGAGTCACTGGAGTCACTGCTCAAAGCTTGAAGAAGCCTGCTAAAAAGCTGACAGGGGTTCTAGAATTCAAAGTTTTGACTTTACGGATACTTTAAATGTGGCCATGTAAGATGTGCATTTCTGTGAATCTAAAACTCTATATAATGTATTTCCAGACACAATAGTTGGCTATGCATTGTCTCTAATAGAATGACATGCAGTTTTATACAAGCACAAGCCTAGCTGCCTGAGAATCAAAGAAAACAAGAAGTCCGGTTAGGGTGAAGAGAACTTTTACTCTACACTTTGTTTGTTTAATGCTAACTTATGCAAATATTAGAGTGCCTTTGTTAATGTTCCCTCAGCAGAGTCTGTGATTTGCTTTAGTAAGCGACTAAGTTCAGCACACTCTCATGATCTTTTAAGATCAAGATTGATCTTGTAGGTCTAAGAAAACATTGTTACTCTAAATGTACCCTTGGCACCCAAACAGAAGATGTAAAGAGCAGAAAGGGCAGCACGCCCAATGAAAAAACACCAAAACACATACAGACCCTTCATTCTTTCCAATAGGCTTGGCATCCTCAGCTGCTGTGTAAATCCTTAAAGGAGGCTACATCATTACCAGCTTAAAGAAAACATGGGCCAAATGAAGGAGACAGATAATGCCTCTTTAATTCCTTCAGCACCTGGCACAGAATTTTAAGCATGCGCCCTTTGTGCCACTATGTCAATGGCATCCAGACAATTCCCACCATAGGAATTCAGTGTGAGAACTGAAATGTTTAAGTTGATGCACTATATACAGAAACCTTGACAAGCTGTTAACAAGTAGCATCATTACCAAGGTTTCTCCTAGATTGTAAGCTCCAAGGAGCAGGGCCCTCCTAACCCTCTTGTATTGAACTGTATTGTTGCTGTATTGTCTCCCGTTATATTGTAAAGCGCTGAGCAAACTGTTGGCGCTATATAAATCCTGTATAATAATAATAATATTTTCTTATATTCATCTATGATGTCTGTGTTTGATTCCTGTGGCATCACTCGGTTCATAAATTGGTGACTTATTTGCAAAAAGGGCAGAAAAGTAGATATATTGCCTAAATTATCCAGCTGGATTGAAAACAAATGTGTGATTGGTTGTCAGAAACCAAACTACATTTGTTTTTCATTTATTAACCATCTTTGTAGTATAGTTAATTTGTAATCTGAAACTGGCATGCTCCTTCATATGGCTATACATGATGTGATTTTCACTAGGTTTGCTACTGATGTTCAGAACTGATCAAATTTGGTTAAAAGGATTTTCTAGAATGGTGAAAAATGTTTTATAATTGACTGTTAAATCTTCCACTTACCAAGAGTTGGGAATGGTTAACACAGTGGTACTTGGTACAGCTTGAACATAAGGATGAGTCATCTAGAGAATTTGTGTAGTCTAATGCTGGCCAGAGACATAAGATGGTTGGACAATACATGGGCATGATTGTCAGGACAAATTAGGTTTTGCTTTAAGGTGGGGACTTTTCCTGCAATAGAAGAGCTATTTTACTCACGATGTCTCCTACCTATATTCCATTACAGCATTACAGCCTCTGCCAGACACTTCAGCATTTGACACTTGAATGGCATTCTCCCCCACTACTTACTGTGGTTCCATCCCCTGGCTCCTCAATCACTACAGGAAACAACAGTGACATAGGGTCAGAGGAAATGACCAAAACATGCAGCAGGAGACACAGGCATCCAGAAGTACTAAATGACCATCCTGCATATAGGCCAGGAGCATAGCCAATGGTGGGGATGTTGGAATCCAATTTTAGCAAAGGATGGCACACCACACTTGTGTGGATTAAACAATTTTACTTAGCAGTCTTGTGAAAACATACCCAACATGTTGAAGATATGCTGGTCCTCTTAAGTAAAATTCCTTGAACCAAGCAAGTGTGGAGTGTTGGATTTTGCCGAAATTAGAAACCAACATTAAACAATCCTGGATGTGTCAAAAGCCAAAAGTGTGCTGAAGAAATTAGTGTAATAGCTAATCTATTGCAGGAAAGGGCCATTCTAAGGCCAGATTCATGGCTTTGTATTGCAGTAATGCACACAACATGCATTGTACCTTTTCATTGTTAAATGGCAAGTCAAGGCAATATGCCTGCATTGTAGCATGACACAATTTACAGCAATACATAGTAGTGTGTAGCTATTCACTCACCAGCCACTTTATTAGATACACCTGTTCAATTGCTTGTTAACAGAAATTGCTAATCGGCCAATCACATGGCAGCAACTCAATGCATTTAGGAATGTAGATGTGGTGAAAATGCCTTGCTGAAGTTCAAACCGAGCATCAGAATGGGGAAAAAGGGGATTTAAATGACTTTGAATGTGGCATGGTTGTTAGTGCCAGACGGGCTGGTCTATTTAAAAAATTGCTGATCTACTGGGATTTTCACACACAACCATCTCTAGGGTTTACAGAGAATGATCCAAAAAAGAGAAAATATCCAGTGAGCTGCAGTTGTGTGGACAAAAATGCCTTGTTGATGTCAGAGGTCAAAAGAGAATGGGCAGACCGGTTGCTGCTGCATTCAGATGGTAGGGTCAGAATTTGGCGTAAACCACATGAAAGCATGGATCCATCTTGCCTTGTATCAATGGTGTGGGGGATATTTTCTTGGCACTAGCAAGGTGTACCTAACAAAGTGGCCGGTGAGTGTATATTGTGCTAGAAAAAAGAATTATGTGCACATTTTGGCAGCTCTGTGTTCTCGAGTCCTAAAAGACTGAGTGGGGGTAATGTCACCCAACAGGTGTGGGTGGACAGTGTTTATGGTGGTACCTGCTGGCTGGTACAGGTATTGTATGCTCGAGTCCTGAAAGACTGAGCATGTGGTTTGGTGAAAGTTTTAACGGTGGTATTGGTTTGTGTGTACAGTGTTAACGATCTGGTAAAATTAAAGGTTCAAGGTTATTTCAAATTTTTATTTATAACTCAAATAAAAGTGCTACAGCCATAATTTTCCACCCTGACATAATTTTTCAAATCTGTATAAACAGAGTTAATTGATTTGGAACACATCTCATGGATGCCTAAAAAACCAGGATCATTGGTGTAAGAACAAGAACAGGGAGAGTATATAAGAGAATAAAATGTAAAACTGTCTCTGGGAGCATCAGCAGTCTGTGCTTTCTCCATTCATTGTCCTCCTGTTAGGAGATGACACCATAGGTTGTATGGCATGATGCAGCTGCAGCCTGCCGCCTCTTCAGAATGAGATGCTTCCTTTAGATTTTCTTCAGTGCTATTCAAGTGCTTATTTTCCTCCTGAAGAAACACAAACAGATGCAAACTTCTGTAAACACTTTAGGAATGAATTCAGTGAGTTTGGCCTCTCAGCAGCCTTCAATAGGTGACAGAAAAATGTCTAATTAGTGCAAGTGGAAATAATAGGGCCACTTGGATTCCATCCATCCTCCACTAAGTCTGCTTTTCCGAGCAACTCAAAACCCTTTTGTTTGGCGGGTCACTCTCTTTCAGGCTTTTGTACTCTAATCTATGTAGAGGAGAAGTGGGGAAAAATAGACTGGGCGATGGTCAACATTTAAATCCGCACTGTACTGTGAGCTATCAAAGAACTAATGTGCAAAGGCTGCGTACAGGTGCTTTGAAACATTCCTTTATTGTGTTTAACAACAGGTATTCTGCTCGTGCCAGGTGTAAGTGTCTTTATTGTGCTGGGAATATAGTACGCTTCCATTCTAGGCACTGCTTAGTTTGCTTCTTTCTATCCACCTCTTGCTTGTCAAAAGTTTGCAGCCCACTTAATTGGGCCTTTGAAATCGGAGTCACACATTAAAGACTATCCATAAATTTAGACAAGGTTAAACATTTCTGAATGAACCAGGGTATTCAGTTCTACAATTTATTTCTATTATTATTATTTTCTGTT